GGAAACGGCCCCCGCCGGGGTCTGGCCGCGGGTGCGAGGCTGGGCAGGGCGGCCTGGCCCGGGGAGCGTGTCCTGGGGGCACCCGTGGCCCTCGGCCGTGCAGGGCAGGGGGTGGTTTTGCCTCCCCCTCCCCTCCCTTCGCGGTGGGGCAGATCTGCCCCCTCACGACAGGGCGCTTTTGGCCCCCTTCGCGGCTAGACCGCCGTGCTGCCCCTGCTTCCCCCCATGCCGGTGGTGCTGGACGCGCTTGGGCAGCCCACGCGTTGGCATAACCCCTCGCTGGCTAAAGTTAGCCAAGAGAGCTTGCAATTCGCAGCCTGCGGATGGGATGGTCCTGCCACCTCAAGGTATGACCACGGGCAAAGCGTCCAGGGTTTGAGACTGAGAGATGCGGAGCGCATGCTGTTTTGGGTAGTGTTTTGCCAGAGTGAGAGGGACTCATCACCAGTGAGGGTTGCACCCTGAGGTGTCCGTACCCCAGCATCCCTCTCTGTACAAAGAAGAATTTTTTTTCACCATCATCCATTCCTCAGGGATGCTGAGGCTCCTTGAGGTGTTTGGGGAAAGGAGTCATCGTGGCAGGCACGGATCTCAGACAGCTTTGCTGTGGTGTGCTTTCCAGACACCTGTAATGAGTCTGTCTCCAAGGAATTTAGCTTCCTAACTCCACTCCCTCCTAGTGATTACACTAAAATGAGACCTTTGTTTATGTGAACAGGAGTGCTGTCAGCTCCAGCACATGGGAACGGTGTGACTGATGTAATGCTGTGTCCTGAACAAACAACAGAGGTCAGCAGGCAGTAGGGAAGTGAAAAACACTACTTGGAGGACTTCTGAGGCTTTTTGATCAGAGCTTTCCAAATGGAGAGGCCTGATATTTAATACCAGCTGATTATAAGTCACCTTCAGGGCCAAGCTGGTTCGTGAGCTTAAGTAAACCAAGTACTGTGTGAGTTTTGGTGTTTGAGACTTTCTGAGAAGCCATTTAAACTCTGCTTTCTCTGATGATCTGTGCAGGTCTTAGTTTGATAGCAGGGAATTTTCTGTGAGAGTGTGAGATCTGTGGGCTACCCTTCTCCAGGGTTTCATTGCAGGCTTTGTACCATGGAGTTCATTTGACCTGATTCTTGTTTTTAATCTTTTCTAGTGTCATCTTGGAGGAATATAACCTTGCTGCCCCACTAACTCACTGGAAATTTTGGCTGATCTACACCTCTGCCTGGAGAACCTGTCCTGTCTCGGCTTAGTGTAGAGTAAAAAGAAAAGCAGCGGATAGCCTACAGAGAGGTTTCTTGTTCTTCACTGAACTAATCATCCTTTTTCTAAGCAAGCAGGATGGAAGGGAAGAAGTGGCACAAAGCTACAGATAAAGTGTTTCCACCAGGGTCTGAGTCTCTTCTTTAAAGAGCAGTTCCAGTGTCGAAGAAGCTAAAAAGCAAGCGCTCCAATAAATCAAAATGGAAGGAGGCAGTGGTCCAAATCTGCAACTTCAGCAGCTTTCATTGGCCACAGCAGCAGTTTCTGTACAGCCACACACAGACTCCTTTTCTTACAAGGTCAGATTTCTACCCCAGTGTACCCCTGGAAGGCCTTAACTATTCAAGAAAGCTGATAATGCAACTTTGTGTTTTGCTTATCTTTTTCGTGGAAAGTGCATTGTCTTTGTATTTTGCTGTGCCTGGAGGCGCCAGTGTATTACACGTTGTGTTTATAAGCAGTGAGAGAAAGAAAGAGAAATCCCATGTCTTGAAGAGCTAGACAAAGTGGAGAAAGAATGATCAGCAATTAAAAGATCAGGTGGATATCTGAAGGTGGTTAGATGCAATAAACTCTGCTCAGTTCCTTTTCAGCCTAACTCCCACATCAGTAATCGAGGTGTTTTGTATCTTCAAGTGCTTGTATTTCAGGTGGGTCAGCCCACGGTCATGCACAGAGCCTACAGCCAAGGTAGGAACAGAGTCATTGCTGTAGTTCCTCCTTGTTCCCCAGCTGAGAGTGGAGCTGTTTGCAGTTCAGTTTTCTCCGAGTCCCTGTTTCTGAAGGCGCTCTGAAAATCCCAGCAAGAAAGCCTTTTTTTCAGCAGAAAAAGTGCTTTACTGAGACCGCAATCCTAAGTGCAATATAGCAGTTGACCAGGCTGACATGAGCATCTTCTGGGCTTGCACGCTCTCACAGCCCAGGAGCCAACTCCAAATTTGTGCTACTCTAAGGGGTTTTTCAGCAGAGGTGCTATCTCTGCCATGCCTTCCAAGCTGAAATCCAGCTGATGAACCAGCCAATAGTGCTGAGTTTTGCTGGCTGCATCTGTGATCACCCTGTGATATTTTTATACCAACTTTACTGTCTGTTATGGGAAGATATCTCATGTGTTTTTGACTGAAGCTGCTTGGATGAACCTTACTTTCTTTTAGCCCGAGAAAGAGCTTTTTATTCCACTGATATGAACTTTAAAGTTTCAAGTCATTGCTTTATCAAGTATGAGAAAAGCGGGACTAGTATATTTACTGTTGAGGGAGGAATACAAATGTGAGCTCAGCTATCCCAAATCAATCAGAGTAAGTACTCCAGTGTTATCTTGGAGACCTGCACTAAAGTGAAAAGCGCTAATGATATCGGATGAGATTTAGACAGTTGTTGGAGGAAGATAAATGCTAAACGGCTTGGCCTGGCCTTGGGTTCTTCTGTTTACTCCTAATGTACATTTCAGTTGTGTCTCAGCCTGCTTTACATCCTTGTTTTTATTTCAGATTCTCTCTTTGGGCTGTGCAAATTTATTGCAGATCTACGAATGCTAATGGAGAAGGGGTTGGGAGCTTACTATGAGTTTCTACCTGTTGCCTTTCACTTTCGAATAAGTGGTTCATATGAAAAGCAGCATAAAATCGTCTGTGGTAATTGGGCTGCCCCATCAAGTGGCCTAAATTATGCCTTTATCCAGCAGAGGTTATGGATGTAGATCAACCAGAATGGTTTGAAAAAATGACCAACAGAATGAAGAGGTCTCTAATCCATACTCCGCTGAATTCCAGGCCGACAAATATCCCCATGAAAACAAATTTTCAAGTGGAAGAGCGACTGGAGAGACTGTTATGTGTAGTTTTGCCTTCTTTCCCTCTGAGAAACTGCAAAGAATGCAAATATATGCATGCCAATTTAAGTCTTTCATAAGAACTGTCAGTTAAGGCAGGGTTGTTTTTTTCACCCAAGTTTCACAGTTTTGGAGCAGAGGCACATGGAACTCGCCTGAATTGCCCTAGATCACATAGAAGGAGTGGAAGATAACAGGGGTTTTATCGCTAGGTGATCTAGGAACTATTTGAAAAGTCTACTCTGCTCCCAGTTGTGTTTTTAAAAAAACAACAACAACAAAAAAAACCCTACCTCCTTCAGGGTCCAGTGGGTAAACTTAATATCTATATATTTACTTTTGTTTTACAGGAAAACTTGATTGGTGCATTGCTGGCTATTTTTGGGCATCTTGTTATCAGTATTGCGCTGAACCTCCAGGTAAGTGTCATGAAACAAATATTGACCCTGCCTTGAGCATGCTGCATTTAAAAATCATCAGACGTGCCAAAGCTTCTGTGCCTGTGTTTTCCTTTCTAGAAATACAGCCACATCCGGCTGGCAGGTTCCAAAGACCCCCGAGCCTACTTCAGAACCAAGACATGGTGGTGTGGACTGCTTCTGCTTGTGCTGGGAGAATTGGGAGTGTTTTCCTCTTATGCCTTTGCTCCTCTTTCACTGATTGTGCCACTCAGTGCAGTGTCTGTTATAGGTAAGGTGGAGAGAGATGTCTGTCATGCAAGGCTGCACGTATTCCAGTGTGAAACTTTTGATAACTGGGCCAATACATAACTCATCCTGTTTTTTCTCTCTCTTTGTTTGTTTTTATAGCTAGTGCAATCATAGGAATTATATTTATTAAAGAAAAATGGAAGCCCAAGGATTTCTTGAGTAAGTTACACACTTCTTTTTTTAATTTTTCCTCTCTGTTTACAAGCCATCCTGCACAGAATTTGACCTGTTAAGAAAAATAAGTGGAGGGATGGCAAGATCTCCACTAGCTATAACGTCTCTTCAGAGAAGTGTGTCATTCCATCCACTCTTTGTTAAAAATGATAGGGTTTTTTTGTTTATTTTGTTTCTTTGGCCTGTGCCAAATTTGCAGGATCTCACCTTGTCATCTCACCGTTTTTTAGATACACATGGAAATGGTTTTTGTTAGCATGATCTCCAGGCTGAAGCTATAGCTTTGGACCTTGACTCTGCAGTAGCTTAGGCATAACTGAATCAGCTGAATTTCATGTGTGTGCAAGTGTCTGCAGAACTGGGGCATTCTTTCTTCCATTTCCTGGAAAATGATCTTTAGGCAGTGCCAGGCAGGGTAAGCTCCAGATATAGATCTTGTAGCTCCTATTTGTTTGACAGATGCTACCTGGTATGAGCTCTTTTTCTCCACTCACAGCACATGCATTGCCTGGGGGTTTTTCGGTTCTAATATTTTGAAAGTGGGGCATGAAGGGTGGAGGAATGAGTCATTCACAGGAATCTGCATGATGTCATTAATGGTCACTGTGCATGTACAATATTAACTCCATGCATCTATACTAACCCGCTAATCTTATCCTCTCTTTTTTGTCCTTTGGTTGCCGAAGGGCGCTATGTTTTGTCCTTTGTAGGCTGTGGTTTGGCAATTGTTGGAACTTATCTGCTGATAACATTTGGACCTAATAGTCATGAGAAGATGACAGGAGAGAATATCACTAGGCATTTAGTGAGCTGGCCATTTCTGTTGTATATGGTAAGATGGCCCATAAAACGTGGGGTAGTTGTTTTTCTGCTATATGCCTGACTGGGAGTTGCATTTCAAACATTCTTTTTATTTATGGTTACTAGCTATATTTCTTGCACTTGTTAATGAACCTATGCCAGCTTTTGCCTGTGTCTGTTCTGCAGTGCACGTGGACACCTACATGCACAATTTGGAACCCTCACGTTCTTTATCTGAGTTATTCTGTTAGGATTTAAATATGTTTAACTGAAAGGTTTTTAAAAAACCTGCTCTCTCCCAGTCCTGCCAGCCTCGACCTGTGGCTATAGTATTAATGGCAGCAGAGAACAACTGCTGCAGAGGTGCCCAAATGCCATGCTCACATCTGGGCTTTTTCTAGAGTAACTTTCTCAGGAGCTGTTCTGCTCCCACTGAAAATCATGTGAAGGTTTGTTTTTTTAATTATTGATTATTATTTTACTTTTTTGGAGATAGGCTTGGCTATTGAATGTGATGCATGCTGCAGGGACTATGAAAAGAATCTCATTAGTGAAAGTAGGCTGAGATCTGTGATGTGAATGTTCAGTCAGAATTATTTGATCTGCTGCTTTACTGTGAACATAATCTCAGAAGTGTCCCATGCTCCTGTTCTGCAAGAACTTAAGTATCTCATCAAATTAGAATCTGAGATCATGCTAAATTTGATCTATAATTTTGTGGGCTCAGTATTTTCCTTTGTTTTGTCCCAGGATTTAACTGGCTCAGAGTCCCATTTACTGCCAACCCCTAGCCCCACAAGCACCCCACCCCTCACTTTCTAATAAACTCTTTTTTTTTTTTTTTGTTTTAGCTTGTGGAGATCATCATATTCTGCCTGCTACTATATTTTTACAAGGAGAAAAATGCAAACTACATTGTAGTTATTCTTCTCCTGGTAGCTTTGCTGGGTAAGTTGATATGGACTTGTAAGATATTCCAACCCTGGATTATAACAGTAAACTAAAGCATCTGTGGCTTATAGGGAACTTTATTGACCTAACTAATGTCATAAAAGACAACAATCTACCTTACAATTGTTACTACAAAGCAGATAAAAACAATATCTTGCAGTGGTATTTAGGATCTTTGCAAATGATCTTTGCACTGTGAAGACCATTTCCCTTAAGGACTTAAAACCTCCAAAATACAGAAAGTGCAAGTTACTTATTAGTTTTCCTAACTTTAATCTATGCATTCAAAGCGTGGTTTATCTTTTCAATGGAGAAGAAGGGCAGATTGAGTGGGTGGAAGAAAGAATTTTACTTAAGGAGTCTTCTTGGCCTGATGAAGATCTGCTGTGTGATCAAAGAAAGAGCAAACGTTCTGCCATGCCAGTATGTCCCTGTTTAAACCGGGAGATACTCAGGGTATGGGTTGCAATGATATTCCTGAGTCCACGGTAGGCTATGAGAATCTCCTATCAGTGACTTTGGAAATGCCAGGATTTTACTTGTATTTTCTTCACATTAATCTTTTTTATTAAGAAATAGTGGATCAATTAAACCTTAAAAAAGTGTAAGTAAAAGCAAGGCAGTGACAGTCCAAACATGCTGGAGAATCTACGTCACAGTCCTCAAGCTTTGCTATTTATACAGCCTCCATCACTGCAGTGTCCGTCTCTTAACGAGCTGTGAGGAGCTGGGTTTCGGTAACTGTACGCTTCAAAGGCTGGGTGAATCTTAGAAAAAGCAACTATTCTAATTGTGAATGGCCTAGACTTGTGTCTACAAGAACTGGAAAGGAAATTAGCTCTTTCTAATTTATGTTTTGAAAACTTCTTTAGCTCTACTAACAGAGCCAATATGTCACCAGAAGTTAAAACTGTCATATTCTTCCATCACTTGATTTTACAGCACTATCTAAATGTTCAAGAAAATTGGTAAATGCTCCTAATCCTATGGACAAGAGAATTGTGTTACAGAAAGGTTAAGTGATATATTGGAGGTCGCTTTAATAAAAGTTGTCGGGATTAAAATTTGCAGAGTTGGGAATAAAATTAGCAGTTTGCATCCCATTTGACCTAGCAAAAGGAGGGTTCAAGTGCCTATAGCTCTTGGTTTTGTTTGCAGCTGTCTGTCATGTATAGAGCAAATGGGCAGTGTTTCTGTCCCGTTGAGTACGTATGTATCAGTGCTTCAGCTGAGTAAATGGTAGATATTTGGTAAATGTTGGTAAATATTTATATCTTGGTAAATATCTTGGTAAATATTCACAGGTTCTATGACTGTTGTGACTGTGAAGGCTGTGGCAGGCATGATTGTTGTCTCGATACAAGGAAACCTCCAGCTCGACTACCCTATATTTTATATCATGTTGGTGTGCATGATCGCTACAGCGATCTTCCAAGCAACGTAAGACACTTTCACTCTCTCCTTGTCTATAATTCTGCTGGTTTCAGTGGATCAGTAATCAATGGACTGTTTGTTATTCATTTAGAGAATGCTGAGCAAATTTTAGTGAGAAGAGTTTATCCATTCTCTTCTGTGACCTGTCCTCAAATCCAGGCAACAGGATTCACAGTTCTTCTCTACTATTCTTCTCTTCACCTGTTCTTCTCTACTATTCCATGCAGTTATACTGCCAAGTAGTTTAGATCCCAAATTTATACATAATTCAAGTATTTGCAAAACAAGGGCGCAAATGAAATGGTGAGAAATCAAATACTATGTCTTTGCACTGGTCAAAACCAAAGAGGTATCAGCGTTATTGATGATACTTCCTTTTTTTTTTTTTCCTTTGTTGTTGTAATAATATAAAATGCCAGTAGCAACAGGGATAAGAAGTTATTTAAAACGGTGGTGACGTTCTGGCCCTGTGGTGAACGGCAATAACGTTACTGCCTTTAGCAAGTACAGTGGTGTAGGATTGTCTCTTCTCTCATTTTTATTAATTCCAAGTGATGCTACTGCAAATCTAGTGAGAAAGAGAATAAGGTTTATTAAATTTATGTAGCGTCATTCTTTTGAAATGTGCCTCCAAAAAGGAGTACTATGCTTGTCCATGCAAACTGCTATACAATTTGAGTACTCCTCCCAAATCAACATGTGTCATCTGTCATTGTATTGCAGATTTTTAGCTCAAGCCTCACAGCTGTATGACTCATCTCAGATTGCCAGCATCGGCTATATCCTGTCCACAACAGTAGCAATCACAGCAGGTAACTGCCCAAATGCATTGGTAGTGTGTTGGCCCCCTTTAAAGGAAGAGGAAAACAGTTTGGAGAATAGCCCTCACTTGCAGCTTAGGGAGGTGAACACTCTGCAAGACGATGACTTGCATTTTCTTGTCATCTCTCTTCTGCAGCTGGCTTTTTTTTTTTTTTTTAACTCCAAAGTGTGCATTGTCCTGTTAGACTGTGTTAAAACTTTCTCTTAAGATCTGTCATTTTGTTGTCCGTGGATACTTACGTTTGAAACTGTTACTCATGCCACGCTAGTGTATAGAAAAAGAGGGTAATGTGTGCTCTGTTATACTGTGCAACTTGGATACACAGCTGAAATTTCTCCTTGTGTATTTTTATTCGGATCTTGTTCAAATGTGTCTGATGCAATGTGTATAAATGTATTTGTTTCCTCTGTACAAGAGCATTACAATTCTTTTCCTATAGTCTTGTTTGCATTATATCTAGGATGCAACTGCTCTTGGCTTTATAGGCAGTTTTCTGTCTGACCAGCTTACTCCAATTTCAGCACTTGCCCACATAAGGAAAGTTCTGTTTGTACGCACAAAGATGAGCACTTTGAACCCCCTTAGGCTTCAAACCTAATAAGTGACCTTTTTCTGGTTTTGTTCTTGTCAGTTAGAAGGCATGTGAGGAAAACCAAAAAAGAACATGCTGCAAAAAGTGTGTCTGCTTGACAAAGATGGATACTATCTGTGTAAATATTAATGTTCTAGGTATATAAGGGCAATAACTTCCCCTTTTAAATTACACGTTGCCTTTAATTCTCCTCAATGTCATGAGAGTCTGTAGCCTGCTCTTTGGCTAATGTTTATTTCCTGTCATGTTCCCAGCCATATGCTGCTCTCGTATTTGTCAGTTTATTTACTTTACTTCATTTAGAAATGTAAAGAGTAGAAGCCACGGTCTGTGAACTAGGCTTCTCATCCTGTTGACATCCAAAACACTGAGGACATTTGTCATCTTCTAGGTTTGACCTATATATACTCGATTGGGGTCAAGAACTTGTATCCTGTTGCAATTAGGTCCTGCTTGGTTTGTTATTCAGACTTTAGAAATACGATCTCTTATGTTTGTACGGTAACTGCTGCTGAACGGTGAGATTCTGGCCCTGGTTGATTAGCACAGTGACCTGCGATAGTTCTAATACTACACCTCCTGCCCCCCAAAATACAAAAGGATTTGTACCAGTTGCTGTGCTGCCGTACAGATTTACTTACAGCTATATTAGTTGTGCCAGTATAACTATTTTTGGTAGTCAAATTCTCGAAAGATTTGTCAATAAACAGTATCTGTTCAAGTTGAAGTCAGGTCACCACTTTCTATTTTAAGACCTTTAAAAGAACAAAGGTGCCTATAAACATAGAAATCTTGCATGATTTGTTACCTGGATTGATCAGTGCCGGAAACGTAGCACTAATAGCTCATGTAAGCTGGAAAGAGAGGTGTCATGAATTATTTCTCTTTCAAGGAGCAACTTTCTACTTGGACTTCACTGGCGAAGATGTTCTCCACATATGTATGTTTGCACTTGGGTAAGTGTTTAAAAAGTTTATTTGATTAAAAAACTGAGAAGTATTTCTTTACATGGCTAAACTTGACAAAATTATATATATTTTGTCTTCTGCACTTTCTGTCTTGGAGAGGAAGACAATCTGAATGCATTTTCTGAATTAGAATGGACAGTGGTCCACAGAATTCAGTATCTTGTCTGAATGATGCTGAATCCTCTAGAGGAATTGTGTAACGCTGGGTCATGCGTAATTGTACGACACTTATGCCACACAGGAAGTCTCTTTTTGACTGTAACTGGAGGTCAGTTTGTGTGTTGAAGCATATGTAGCTTTTTTCTCCCTGTATGTTTATTCCCTTCAAGATGAGCTGGAAGGTTCTTAAGCTCTCCTGCTCTTCAATCTAGAAGAATTTTAGAATAACCAAAAGAAAATTCATCCCCCGGGAATCCATTTCAGGTTTTGCTCTGAGCCTTCATTGAATTATGACAGGACGTAAGGAGTCCTATTTCTTAGGTATTTCTTATGGGCATTCACATAATGCTGATGTGATCGGTAAAACATTTACTGTGTAACTCAGCATGTAGTCCTAGCAGTGTCTTGATATGACTAATTCTCCATAAGCAGGGAACATGCTGAAATATATTTCAAATTAATACAGAAAAAACAATTGAGAGGTTAATGTTATGAACCTTGCCTTTCTCTGTCACTGTACTGTAAAAATCAAAACTGACAGTTGTCAGTGTATTTGCCTATGGGAAATCCCTCAAAGTTCAGACTGTTAAATCCTGGAATTTCATTACAGCAAATCAAACTTTGATACGCTTCCTTTCACCTCTGGTTAGTCAAGCTCAGCTAATTAACGTGAAAACTTTTCACTGTCTTTTATCAAAAAGGTGGAGTTGTTCTGACTGACTGCTAGTTGCTAGGTGGGCTTCAGTACTGTTCAAAAGGGTTGTTCAGCTGAAATAGTTCCCTGTAACTGTCTCCACAGTTCTGTCTCTTCCAGTTCTGATTTGCTTACGATGTTACATGATAGGCACTCAGAAAAAGCAACATGCGACATTGGCTCTTCTCCCTTTTCACATTCACCTCATCAGATTTTGTCTTCTCTCAGGTGCCTCATAGCATTTCTAGGTGTCTTCCTGATCACAAGAAACAGGAAGAAATCTGTGCCCTTTGAACCTTACATATCGATGGATGCTATGCCAGGTAACAGTAAAAATCCAGTGGTTTACTGCCTTTTTTTCTTTAAGTTCTGGGTTTCAGAATGAAAACTCATGCTTTAATCTCTCTTCCGCATCCTGATGCATCAAGCAGCTATGTTGTCTGTTTTTCCCTTTTGTTCTTGCTTGCTGTTTGCACCTTGTGATGGGTATACGTATGCTCTACACGAAGCAGAGAAGAGATAACGTGCCACTTGGATGTCACTTATTCTGGGTCCTGTCAGGGGGAGTGGCAGGTTTTAGCAGAAGAGCCTTGTTCAGTCGGCTACTATCTGGGGAGGAGATGGGGATGAACAGCAAATGGAAATGGTTCCATTTGCTTGGAACTGGGCTTGGTCCAACTGGAAGACTGACCTCTGGGGAGGACAGGTACACTGCAAGAGGTAAAGGCCAGAAGGAGCAGAAATTTCTTCTGGGAAATATAGCTATACTGTCTTTCTGGTGAGCTATATAAAAGATATGCAGCATTTGATAAATAACTGACTGCCGTCCTTCATTCACTAGAAACTTATTTTTCTATTAGCTGCTTTACTGCTAAGCAGAAAAACACTGTCTTTCGTTTAACACTCAAGGAACTGATGAGCTGCATATCACTAACCCTGAGACTACACAATTTGCTGATTTAACAGAGTGCAGAAAGAATGCACTTTTGTTCCTAACTACTTAATCTCTGTTTTTGCTCTTCTCAGGCATGCAGAACATGCATGATAAAGGGGTTGCAGTTCAGCCTGACCTCAAAGCTTCTTTTTCCTACGGTGCCCTAGAGAACAATGACAACATACCGGAAATTTATACTCCAGCTACGTTGCCGATAGTGCAGGAGCAACATGGTTCCAAAGGAGTTTCTGCTCCACCCTACCGAGTGCTGGAACACAGCAAAAAGGAGTGAGTGACCTTTAAGGAACTGATTTGAATCATCAGGAGTGTGACCTTTATTTATTTACCTTTTTCAGTTTAAAATATAAGTTAAGTGTAAAGCCAACCTTGATACAGTTTAAAGCTTGCCTCAAACTTAACTTTCAAGGATGATTATTTTAATAAACAACTCTCTATAGTTGTGAAGTTGAAAGCATTTGTTGTAGCAAGAAGTAAATCACAGTTCTCCTTTGAATGCTGCTATCGGGGAGTGTGAAATGGCAAGTGCAGTATTGTGGCTGTATGAAACTGATGAGATAGCAGGCGTTGTGGAAATGCAGAGCCGTGGGAAGAAAAGTGACTGTGCAATTTATAGCCCTGCTGGGAATGGGTTTATCTCCAAACTGAAATTTTCATGAGTTGCCCACAGTGAGAGAAAGGCAGGCTGTAATCTTTCATATATAGAGACTGTGAAGGATTTCCAGAAAAGTTGTAAATCCTCCCATCTCTGACATAACCACCAAACCACCTTAGCATGGCAAGAAAATGGTACTGTTTTCAAGCGAAAATACCGGGGCTTACTGTGTCTTCAGAGTGGCATAATCCGTTAGCATAAGTAAGCTACTTTATTTCTTCAAAGCCTGGATCTTTGGCGTTTCCTGTATAACTATTCTTTGACTAGTGTTGAACATATGCACTGAGTATGTGAATAGTTTTTATAGCACCATTGGATTATATGGCAGCTTAGGACAAAGATTATCTTTTGGCAGTTTTCTGGTTTCATAGCAGGAGCTTCAGGTTGGATCAAATGGTGCAAAAGGAACACTGTAAAGGACAAGAACAAGATGAAATGAGAATAGCAATGTGACTGGTATTCCTCATAGGAGTTTATCTATAGTTCTTGAGAGGTCCAAATTCTCTATCATTTTATTTCCTCTCTGGGTCAGGCAGGGTTTCTAACTTTGTTTAGTGGTCTTAGACGCTTAGAGATATCCACAATCCTTTGGCAATTTTAAAAAGCCCAGCCTAGGTCTTGTAGGTGGGGGTTCCCTACCTTTTTTTCCTCAAAAGCAAGAAAAAGTATTGGCCTAATAGTGTGAATGACCTAACAAAAAACAAGCTTGCACAGTCCAGCACTCAGAGAACTCTAACAATAATGAAGCATTGTGTACTCACGATATTTATCTTTCCAGTTTCCAAGAGATGGCCAGAAGTTGATAGGGAGAATAGATGCAAGGGGAAACTTATCAAGGGAAAGGGACAAAGTACATTGTTTACCGGTGTATGCAAGTTATACCTGCTTTCTAGGCAGTTGCACTTTGATACCATCATCTTCTCTAAAGACAGTTGTTTTGCTGGGAAACAGAATTCTAAGTCTAACTGGGTGTGTCTTGGACTGTATGTGTAGCAGTGTCTGCATGCACTTAGAAAACCTTATTTGAAATGAGTATCACTTGTTCTATGCGTTTTAAGTGGTCACTCTGACACCAATGGTTTTGGGAGGGTCTTGGACTTGCAGCTGTGGCTTTCTGCTTTTGTTTTTAATTGACTCATGCCCAGATTCTGTTCCCACTACCAAAAACTCCCAAGCACTCTTGACTTGTATATAGTTATTCCAGATTCCTGCTACTGTACATGACAACAGAACTGTTCTTTTTGCATATGTTTGCCTTGCCACCTATGAATACTAATTTAATCTGGAAGTACTTGAGTGCTTTGGCATTTTTGTGCAGCTTAGAAAAATATGACCTCACTCTGCAAAGAGTGGATGCCTGGTGTGTGCACGTGTACCTCTATGTGAAGTTTCTTCACTAGCTTGGCATGTCTGACAATTCAGATCTTATCAGTGGCATCCTGTACACTAAAGCAGATATTTCTTGAGGTTTCATAAGCTGTTATTTTGCCCACAATACTTTCTGTGTTCAAGTAAGATAACAATGTTAATGGGCTAATATTGCCAGTACATTAATCTTCTTGGAGTTGCAATGACACTGATTTACTACCTTTGGCTCTGTATCCCTGGTAATCAATTTTTTTGTGAATTTATGTGCGACTTTTGTTCATTAATGATACAAAACAAAATAGTACATGAATGAGAAGGGTACAAGAATACTGGCTTTTCTTATCTCTTCCGTTCTAATCAATGAGGCAGTAGCTGTTTTGACCTAGTAGTTCTGAAACCATAGAAATATATTCTTTTAAAACAAGCTGTGCTATACCATGCATACCTACAAACTCCACTTCTTACATGGTAATAGTCTCTCTTTAGTTGCTACGGGGGTTGCCACATTATAAAATAGTTGATCTAAAGGGCCCAAATGTTATGCTATTGACTTCTATTGTTAAGGTGATCCTGTGTGTTACTGAATATAGTTTTTCTAATTCTTGGGGCTCCTCAGTTCTATTTAAAAACTGCAGTTGACTGATATGCAGACTTTGTGGCCAATAAATGGTTGGTTAGGTTTTTATCCTAATCACAGGACTATCTTTATTCCTAAAATCACGAGATAACAGACATGGAGTTCACTGCCAGGTGGGGAGCTGCTCTGATGCTGAGCCTCTGCTTGTACGTCTTGTCTGTGGGCTGCTCTCTGGCCTGATTCAGTAGTTATTGCACAAGCTCTGTGGACTCTCCATAGCCCTGCAGCCTCAGCATTGACTGTCAGGCCAGTAGTCATGTCCTCTCTGCCAGGGAGCCCTCAGTTGGCATCGCGTGGGACAGTCTTCTGCTCTGAGTGCTTTTTTCCTCCAGCCATAACCTGAACTTTATTTTTTGTGCTATTTTAGCTCACCCTTTCCCCCCCCCCCTCTTTTTTTTTTTTTTTTTTTTTTCTACGCTCCAAAGACTTCCATAGTCCTGCTTTATTTACCCGGTTGCTCTTATGTTTTTAAATACTTCTGCCTAATATTGACAGTTACCTTTACATTCAGTGAGACTTGCTTTTGGAAATCTTCTGACAAAGGGTTCCCAGGGAGATGGTGTTTGTTTCTACAACAAACAAATCACAATATTTTGGATTACTCAACTGTGCCAGGTCAGTAGAGCCTGGGATGTTTCTTAGCCTGTAGGCCTTAACAGCTAATGTTGTAAGGGTTCATCTTTGCCACCTTTGTGGGGATTTTTTGTTTTGTTTTGTTTCACTTTCCAGTTTTACAGCAGCCATCTCTGTTGCTAAGAAGGCATACGTTGGGGCACCAGAAGACAAACATCTGTTTCAATGGAGTGTAGGAGTTCTCCAGTCTCTTTTCACGTTATATAGCTCAGTATTGAAATAAATTCCTTACATCCCTTCTTGTCTAGAGCTTAGAAGCCCAAAACAGGGAACTATTTGTACCCTCAGATCTCTACTTTTTACAGAATGCTCTTAGGGATGAGGTGACAAGGGGGCTGCAGCAAACCTTTAAAGTTACACTGGACATGAACAATTTAAAGAGCCCCATGCCACACCCTAGTCATTCTTGCAGGCTGAAAAATAATCTGTTGGTGTAAAGCACATTTTAACATGTGTATGTCAAAACTTCAGTTTATCTAGGGCTGATCTTCTGAGAAGCAGGGCACCCTAAACAGCTGAGTATGCTTAGATTTCCAAATATGCAGTCTTTTGCCGAACCCAGAGCTGAATATGTGCACAGAAATGAATCGACTGCTGCCTCCTTTACTAAAATGGTGGAAAAACTCCTTAACTCTCTCTTCCAGTTTCTTTACCAAATGTGAACTGACATCTATTGCCTCTACACTGTGTGGCTTTTTGATGCACCAGAGCACTTAATATATTTCTCAATGTATAGTTACATGTAATTTTATGCTGTGGATTACAGCTCTGATGTTGGCTGAATGTGCAAAATGATCTACCTATAATGTTCTTTTGTTCACATTAAAATGTGTAAATAAAGCAAGCTTTACAGTATTGGATTATAAGGATAACTCCTTAATTTTTTTTATAAGCAATGTTGCATGTCTGTTTAAGTGTATCTGTGCATTAGGTGAGATCTTTGGAAATGAAACTTAATAAAAGATTCTGGTAAAACCTATAGAATTCTGGCATGCTCAGTGCTCTTAGGGTAGGTATAATTGGCCAATAAATATCTTGAGAAGAGTTAAGACAGTTTAGTTAACTAGCATAGGTCCTACGTGCATCCAAAGAATAAAATCTTCTTGAACAAGGTATTTGTAAAGGACATGTAAATTGCTAAAACTGATGTTTAGGAATGCATTATTGACGCTTATACTTCTACTGTGAGTCTCAAAATATTTGTTGTCAGCTTTGGGAATCGTGCAGTTTACTTAAGAGTCTTGGTTTACAGCGCTTTAACAAAAAAAATATTAGCACTCATTGTGTCAGAGGAAAGCTTGAAAATGTGGCCTGGGTATAGCCTAGAGGAGAATTAAAAAGGACAAAATGAGCCAAATCACAAAAACAAAAGCATTACGTTACTGGTGGCCTAACTCATCATTTCTGCATCTTTGCCAACTCAATACTGAATGTGAGACAGCAGCATGCTTCTCTGAGACAGCAAAGATCTAATGCTAGTTGGGAATGCTACACTGTGGGAGATGCCATCCATCAGATACAGGATATCGTGTCTTTGATTGCAAGACTAGACAGCTTGAGGACGTTACCTCTTAATGGCATTGTTAGGAACAGACAGTCATAAATTTAGAATACTGGCAATGTCACTTAATCGAATGCTTGCCAACCTAATTAACACTCACCATATGGGTTTTAGTCCAGGGGGATAAGCAGAAGATAACCCTCAGGATACATTTAATTAAGAATATCTCTTGGGGTCCCAAACCACAAATGGAAAAAAAACAAGAGCAGCTTCATCCACCTGGGTGTTAAAGCTGCACTTCATAGAAGTCCCTGGATACAATATTAGAACATGGGCTAGTGCTTTCTTGAACGTTTACAGCAGCAGCATCACTTGAGTTCCACAGTTTCTGATAAACATGGTAGTGCTTTGTTAACCTGTATCATTTTAGGGTTAGTGCGTTATAATAGAGATAACTGCATTTACTTAAGTGATAATATAAAGAAATGGCAATCAACCCAGATGTCAGGATCATTACAAAAAGAAGCATGATACAAAAGTGCTGTTATTACAAAACAGTATTTAAAGTGTTCCTGGAAAATCTGCTGAAATGGACAGAAATGTTGCATTTCATGATAGCTCTTATATTAAAGCAGAATATATTACTGGCCAGGGATGAAGAACTTGGTATTACTGCATTAGTAAACCATATGATTGCAGCCAAAAGGGCTAAGGTAATTAAGACCGTTCATTACTGCCTAAATTTGTGCTGCGTTTAAACTGCAGAATCCCTTATCTGCACAAGTAAAGAATTTCTTAAAAAAAAAAAAAAGTGGCTGTTCCTTGTTTGTTTGTTTTTTTTTTTAAGTGAAGGGTCTGCACTATGAACAAACAAATGACAAGCCTGGTAAAGGAAACAAGCTTAGTATTGCTTTCTGCCTTTGTCCATATCTACATTTTAGCAGAAAGCATTTAAACCACAGAAATTCCTGTACTGAAGACAAAATCTTAGCAGTCCTCTGGCTCTACAAGTGGGGACAAAGCTAATGAAGAATGTATTTGTATCAATGACATTCAGTAGATACATTTTAATGTGATTTTCGTGGAAAACGGAATATAGCCAAGTATGGTGTTGGTTTGTGCATATTTTAGATGTAAATGTACAAGCGTTCAGTTGTCACACAGCTCAGATCACCACTGTTCAAGCAAATCATTGCATTGCTGGATTAAGCTGTGATTTAGTCTCAGAGAAGAGGGACACAAATTGTCGCTGTTCCCATCTGGTAACCGCCTGAGTGTGTCCTTTAGCTGAGGCCAATTGCAAAGTAAAACCTCTTAACTTCCAGCAGCCATCTAGGAACATACGTGGGCCTTTCACAGCAGCGATTGTCGTGCTTGGCACGAAGGACCGGCGCTGTGCTCTGCTCTTCCCACTCCCTTTCCTCTGGCTTTAGCCTTCAAGGTCATCCCCGTGTCCTGCTGGTGGCAGGGATGCTCCGTCGCGCTCCTCCTCGACGCCTCCCGGTTCGTGGCATCAGCACGGTCCTGCCTTGTGCTTCGAGGCTGTTAACTGCAAACCCCGAAAGGCCTCGGCCGCCCAGGCTGAGCTCCGGTAGGAAGTTCCTAGGGCGATTTACAGTGTTTGGATCAATTCCCATCTCTGCGAGCTCGGCCAATTCCCCAGGGAAGACAGGAAACCCTTCGCTCGAGCCCCAGCGGTAACCGCAAAGACACCATCAGCTCCCGAAGCGGCTGGTGCCGTTTGCGGCCGCGACCGCGGCTCCCCTTGGATGGAGAGCAAGCCAGCCAGCCGCTGAAGAACAGTTCTCAGAAGAGAAATCAGGTCGATTCAAAAGCTGATAATCTTACCAAAAAGGAGCCTTTACATAGGTTTCATGCTTTTTTTTTTTTTTTTAAAAAAAAGATCATTCTGGTTGATGATGATAAGACACTATATAAACTAACAAAACATGAGAGGAACTTGCGTTTCCGCTTATGCTTTGCCAGCTCCTGCATGGGCAGCTCAGCTTTGGTTTAGCTGCAGGATGGTAACAGGGATTTGTATGAGGACGTGTAACCAAAGATACTAACTTTTAAAATGAGCCTATTCCATTCCTGTCGGTTTCCAGACCCTCAATACCCAGAAATAGCAAGCTTTTAAATATTGAATATGGTAAAGCCCAATGGCCATGCAGAGAGGGAACGTGTTACCATACAGTCTCCCTGCCATGCTTGTCTCCATGCCTGATTCTGGGGTAGAGGTTGCAGACACCTCCTGAGCTGAACAGGAGAAACAACTCTTCCTTAATGTTCCTCTAGAAAATCGCTGTCCCCAGGAACAAAAAGGAGTTCTGGGGAGCTGAGAGATGCCCAGTTCCTGAGGAGTTCAGTTTTATTTCTCTCCTACCCTTCTCACAGCAAATGATGACGGGGTCAGGTGGAATCTTCAGCTGCTGCATGCTTTGGTGGCCTACTCCTTCTTCTTCTTCTTTTTTTTTTTTTTTAAATTCAGTTTCTCCTTAGGGTGTATCCAGATAAAGAGTCTTTTTTTTTTTAATTAATTTTTTTAATTCAATTTTTTATTTAGAAAAAAAAAAGTTTTGTGGCAGCGTTACCTTACAGCGTGAAGAGCAGGTCTAGACGACGTAAAGGTAAAAACACCAGTTCTGCGTCCGTGCCGCTGCCTTGTGATCGAGTGAGGCTACCAATGGCAGAAGCCGGCTTTCCACCGATTGCTTTTAAGTTGGGAGGGCCTCCTGGGTTTGTGCGAAGCAGAAGGGTTTGTTTTCGTTGGGAAGTGTTCCAAAGGTGCTTGCCACACTGGTATTTAAACCATAAGACGGTATGGACCCTCCGAAGAACAAAGGACTTATTAAAAGGTCTTAACCAAGCGGCTTTAGTTCTTGGTATCCTGTTAGTCCTGCCGCGGAAGGCCATTCGATCTAAAATTTGAGAGGGAAAGAACGATTAAATAGCTACCAAACGCATGTTGTTAGTTTTCTGTACAATGAATTCGCTTATTTTTCTGAGCTATGTATTGCAGTTAATATTAAAATCTGTTAAAACTTAAGAGAAGTAATTCCCTTTTGCGTAGGGGAAACTGAAGCAGAACAATGTGAATATGGCACTGATAATCACATCGAGCTATCTGTGAAACTTGGAGCATTTCTTCTAGTTTTGTTGCTTTCTGATAATTGCACGATAAAATAAATCAATCTAATATCTTAAAACATAATTGATTCCAGTTTTGCTTCCAGCAGTACTTCTTAATTAACATTTGTACATTAGTCTTATCTGTCTCATTCTTCTTTCAAGGGAGCTATTCCATGTTTTTGCAATACTCACTGACTGGTGGTTAGATACTGATTTGGGGAAAGTCTGTAAAAACATAAAATAGCTGAAAAGCTGGCATTAGCTTGTAGATTTATGATTAAAGAATTAGAACTGTGGTGCCTTCTTACATTTAAAAAAACACACAAAACTGAAGTAGCTCTTATTATAGTCCAGTGTCCTCTACGGAAGCCTTTCAGATTTTGTTTTTGTAGTTGCAAGAAATGTTGTGCTGTAAATGATACAGAACTGTTGATCTTAATGGCAAAATGTTTCCTTAACTTTGACTAAGAAGGGTTCTGTTAAATCCCTCTCCCTACAGACTGCTTGCAGGAGTTCAAAGGAATAACTGCATTTTCTTCTGCGGCTTAATAGAGTACAAGTTTCTACTCTTGTTCTCTAAAGGAACAAGATGATTTCTCTGGTAATTCAATTTTTGTTTCTAGTTGAGAAAAACTGTAATCTGCTTCATGGCAATGGGAATGTTTAAGCTGCCCCAGCTCTCCGATACAGTTTACACCCATCATTTGAGACTCACTGTCATTTCACAGAGCAGAAAATATCTTGCAGCAAAGCATTTTGTTGCTATAATTAAATATTACAACATGATGAATTCATATATAATGAAAACTGAAGTCAGTGAGACTATTTGTAATGTATAAAGCTGGATATGGTATGCCTAAAAAGGTATGTATGCCTTTCATCAAGGTTCTTAAAACGCTAAATAAGAGTTCTCTACTTTGTAACTTCACCTGAAGAGCATCTCTTCTATGCAACAATGCATGCCTATACAGCATTTGATGTGTTGCATAATACAACAAATTGCTATTCAGCAAAAAGCAGCGTTTTCCTCATATGAAGGGTATTTCTGGTATAAAAGGTTTACATGGATGCTTTCTGTGGTGAACAGAAGACAGATCTGCGATTTTTTTTAAGTAGATATTTGCTTACTTAATACTTATCTCATTAGTGAGTAAAAGATGGCTTCTATTTGAAGAGACTATACAAAGTCTCGTTTTACAGAATATTAACTAGAAATACAGAGTTCAAGTGACTTGGTCGAGGATGTGTAATAAGCGTTTTATTTATATAAATAAATCCTCAGATCTCCCTTCATTTTATCTCTCTCTTTGCTCCTTTTTTTTCTTTTTTCTTTTTCCAAAGTGACATTGTAATTGCTCACATAGCAAGTGAAGGAACATCTCTCTAGTCACTGCAGTGTTTGGTGTTAGTAATCTGCAGATTGGAGCTCCTTAAATGACACAGTAGATGACAATGTCTTTAAAGAAGTAATGGATTTGGTTGATAATCTATGGATTAAATTCTTTCTCATTTTAATTATGATACCTGATTCCACTATATTAACTGAACAAAAAAAGAAAGTACTATGGGCACAGTGTAAGTCACAGTAATGAGCACTCAGTTAATCTTACTTTCTTGATGTTTTTTACCTCCCTCTAAACTTCTTTGTTTGACTTTGGTTCATGCTGTATTAGGCTCAGATAGCATGAGCTTTTTAAAGCTTTTCATAGCTTGGCCAGCTTGACCAAATTTTGTGCTGGTCTGTATGTTACCGTATATCCAGTTTTGTTCATCAGTAATTTAAATCCTTCAGCTTCATGCCAGCACTTCCAAACTCTGTGCCAGATTTGTTCTCTTGCTGTGTTTCCAAGTCTCCTTATTCTTGTATTTGTCAGATAATGAGGTTTTTGAGGCAGTCATGTGGAGGTTAGGTGTTTCTTATTATGGTACATACTCTTCTCTGTCTGGGGGGTGGAACCAAAATAAGGGTAGTAGTTTACTCTCGATTCAGTCTGCTCATAGCTTGACGTGATTTTTAGATTTTTAGGTATCCTTGTCCTGTTGCATGTTGGACTGATTAGCCCAGAACTCTCTCTTGGAATCTGTGCTTCCTAGCCAGATGGTAGCTTTTGTTTTTTCTGTGCTGGCGTACTTTCTTTTCCATTTCTCTTTCCTTTTTGCGTGATTCAGCCTGCACAAAAAAAATTACTTTTCCGCCAGCTACATGTTTTCTTGCTTTTACTTTCTTCTTTCTGTGCAGCTGAAATGCATTTCCTATGAAAATTGCTTTTGAAACTTGCTGAATTTTTGAATTACTTTTGAACTCTTGCATGTTATTTCTCCTTCTAAAAGAAAATGTTGACAGTGTTTGGCTTTTGTTAATTAGAATACTTTTTTCACGTGTGCAAGTATGGATTGATTGTGGATTTTCAATGCATATCGGTTTCCATTGATGGCATTTCTTAGCGACTGCTTCAAATGAATAAGCTAGTTAAGCAAATAAAACATTCAAATGAGGTCATTGCCAGTGGAGCATGATATATGTTTGCCAATTCTTTCTCGGTGTTACAACGCAACTTAAAATCCCAAACAAACCCAGATATAGTACAGGCTTGCGTGTTTTCTATTACTTTTATTAGCCTGTGCAGAAGTGTGATAACCTCTTCCTTCATGATTTTGCAGCATTATTTTATAAATTATACTCTATTAAAAGTCATTTTTTACTGTGAATGAAATAGTTTGTTACCTAAAGCCTTTTATTTAGTATTTCGCTTGTTTGCACTATTTTTTTCTTCCTTGATATGTTTATGCAAGGCTATAGATCCTGTAGCTCTTTTGCCTATTGGCATTATGCAGCATTTAGGGCAAAGAAATGTCCTCCTCCCGTTAGGAGATACAAGGTTCTGTTCCCGTATCTGCCATTGGCTTGCAGAGACTTTGGACAGATCACTTCATTTTGCTGTATACGTGTGTTCCCTTTGAAATAAAAATAATTCTTCAAGTATTAGAAGACTACTCTGATTATTTGGAGAATGCTTTTAAGTTATTTAATAAGAAATTGCTGTTAACTGAAAGGTACAGCACTGAGCAAAGCTTCTAGTTTCAGTGTTGCCGTTCTTGATTTATGTCATATTAAAGGCAGCAGAAATTTCATTTACCTGACTGAATGACTTCTTACATTCCTTTTCGTAGATTGAACAGTAGTGTCTATCCCATTTACAGAAATAGGATAAAATGCTTATGTTTTGTGGATGAGAAGGCACATTTCATGTAGGTTTCTGTTTTTTGTAAAATTATTCATCTTAAAGAAGAGTCATAGCAAGAAGATGTGGTTTCTTGGCACATTCTGTATTTTGACACGCTATATTGTTTTGTTTTTGTTTTTTCCTTGTTGTTTGTTTTTGGAATGACAGACTCCTATTAGAAACTCTGGAGCATAAAGAAGAGTTGCTTTGGGTAGATGATACTCAGAGATACTATGAAGTCCTGGAGCGACAGCCAGTCAGACCTCTACAGCAGTGACCAAGAAGAGGAAGAACAGATGATTTTTGGAGAAAATGAAGAAGATTTGGAAGAGATGATGGATTTAAGTGACTTGCCTACCTCACTCTTTGCTTGCAGTGTCCATGAAGCTGTGTTTGAGGTAGAGGAAGAAAAGGTAAGGTGGGCTGAGGCATAGTTAGAGTATAGTATTGTAAGTATAGATAAAACTAGAGAGCTGTTTTGTCTCTATTTTCAGTGTATTACTGCACATTTTGACTGAAAAAGCATGAAGTGTTTACCAGTAAGCTCAGATCAGAATGAATACAGTTACCAAAGAGCAGGTAATACTACATTTTTCTGGCATTTGAAATTGTTAATAGATATACAGTGCTTTTCCCGTGAAAAGCTCTCCTGATTTTTCTGCTTATCCAAGGTACTAAATCCAAGGGCGGATTTAAATAAGATCCAAAGCCAAATTTAAATACATTATTTCAAGGCAAGGGTTCTGTTAAAAGAGCATTATGTATTTTCAGGATACGTTGTCTGGTTGGAAATAATAAAACACCTTGAAAATGGCTTAAGACTTTAATAATGTAAATCTTCTCTGGCCTGCTAACATTTGTATTCCGTCAAATCTGTACTTGGCCTTTGATTCTAAGAGCATCAGGAATAATTTTCTATAGTACGTGAGTGTTTGGGGGAAAAAAAGGAGGGGCCGATATGAAAGCTTGGTCTGCAGCTGCTTCAGTTTCAATTTACTCAAGTATTTTGTGAAGCCTGCAGTTTTGCCTAGAAGTCCTCAAGGTGTAAGGAAAAGGTGTGGTGTCGGTTAGGGAATACTGTTCTGTGCCTCAGAGTTGCTAAATCGTGTGTTTCAATATAAGTCAAACTTTCATTTACTGTGAGCTGAATTCCTAAGCTAGTGTCCCTAACAAATGGAGCCAGTACAACTCTCTCGTATATGTCTAAAGGATGGTACCTAAAGCACATAGATGAGTAAGGCAGCTGAAGAGGTAATCTGGTTTTGTTCTGTTCTGTGATCTGGCTGCTTAAACATGACGTTCTTTCCTTCCATCTTTTCTTGTCTGTTTCTTGTCTGTGCTCTGTCATTCTGAAGGCACAGCTGCCAAAACGCAGATTTTTGTATTCACATCTCAAGTACTCAAATCTTTGTACTCTAGTCTGACAGTGTTTCTTAGAACGTTGGATCTTGGCCCTGGGAACACCCTGCTTATAGTTTTTCATAATTGTATGTAGATTATCTTCCAAGATGAGGAATTTCGGGAGCAACAGATTATCAGTGCTGTATGCAAATTTTTTTGTAATAATAAAAGATGTGTGACTCCTGAGTCATGGTACTAATTAGTGATCAAAATAAAACTTAAAATGTACCTGTATGAATATGCAGAAATAGCTGTAGGGAAGGAGAAAGATGAGAAAACATAGTATATGCAAAATAGAAGGAACAGTGATTTGTTGAGAAGGTAGGTGTTTTAATTTCATGTATAGGTGTGCAGTGATATAGTGGTGAGTGCCAGCCTGTTTTGACTAGTGAAGAACAAGATGATTAAAGCAGCTTTGAACAATTTGGGTGGCTTGCTTCCCCATATAAATAGGGTTAGATTTCTACAGGAAAATAGATTAGGGTTATTTATCTTCTTAATCAGTGAAGTTTTGCTTCAAATCATAAATGATACACTGGCGTAGATCTTTTTATTAATAAAGGGATTGTAGGATAGTTCTGACTGTGTTGGCACAGGAGCAACTGTTGTTAGCACAATTCTGCCTAAGGTAGCCATGAAGAAGTGTGCTATTGAAACTGTGCTGTATGATTCTGAATTTGTGACCTCTGCTGCAGTTTTACAGTGTACTCATCACAGTTTTCAGATGAAAAATCCCCCTCTGTCCTGGCCAAGGAGGAATAATGTTAATGTCCTTTCGGTACTGATGATGATAACATACGCTTAAAAGCCTTATGGCTTAGAAATTTTTTCCTTTGCTATCTTTCTTTCTATTGGTCTATATTTTTAGCCTGCCTTTACCTGCCTACATAAACTAATTCAAAAACTCTTTCCTTTAAATATGATTTTTGGGGACCTGAATTGTTCTAAGTGACCAGAGTATAATTTTTAATTGAATAGTGAACTTCTGATGGCTTTTCTTTTTGTTTGTATGAATGATTTTTCTTAACTATTTTAAAATTTAAGTAGCATTACTTTAAGGAATGGAGAGCAAAATCAAATAGATATGCCAGGGAATGTAGACACACCATTCAATAAACTCCTGAGGAATGTAAAGCCTCCAAACGGTGTGGACTGTGCTCCTGCACAGCCAGTTCTGTCTTGCTGTGCTGGAATCCCCAGGACAGCACCAGCAACAGTAAGGGGAATTTTCAACTTTCTTTCCCTTGTCTTCCCAGCAGCCATGCAAAGTTAACTCATCAAAAAACACAAACAAACAAACAGTTGTACTCTCCATTTGGTCAGCCCTCCCCACTCCTTCCCTCAAAAACTTAGCATGCTAGTGTCTCTCGTCCTTCTGACGGCTGAGAGTTCTGATGTCTTTCCTGTAGGATCCAGTAAAATTGTTCTATTTTACACCCTGATCAGCAAAAGTATTTTTTAACTACTGCTCTATGCAAATGCTATTAGGGTGTTAAGTGATTTATGCTGTTATATACAGAATAAATTTTGTGTTTTAGAGTAGCTATTTCCAAGTGCTTCTTGACATGTACTATGTAGCCATGGCACTGTCTGCAGGAAACTAGGTTTGAGCACTGGTCTTACCTTTAGAATGCCTACTGCAGGATGATTTTTCTCCTTAATCTTCATTATCTTCTCCTTTATAGCTACATAAGCCTCTATCTTGTAAGCCTTATCAACTCGTATTATTCTAGGTGTTTTCACTTTTTTTCACCGTCTGAAAAATGTGTGCAAGTTGCAGTTCCATAAGATATAAGGTCAACCGGAGCGAGCCTGTGTCGAGTTGGTTACCTGTCTCTTTGCCACCTTTTCTTTTGCCGTGAGCCTCTGTTTATTATCTCTAAGCCACCTTGCAGTCCAATTTTAATTTTCACTCCCAGTTATACTATATTGCAGAATTAATCTTGGAGTTCCTTGGTGTTTGTGCCAAAAGCCCCAAAAGGGAGGGGTCTCAAAAGGGGTTAAAGAAGAAAAAAGGCATTGGGAGGCTTCAAGCATCCGCACATGGTAATGATTCCTTACCTCCTTGACTCAACAAAGCATGTATAAGAGAGATTTCTAAACTGTGTTGCAGTAGACTCTGTAAAAGAAGTCCGATTTTTTGTTTCATCCTTTTCATCCAATTTACTTGATTAGCACAGTTCAGCTCATTTTGAAACAATAGTAAAATGTAAACATAGTAGCAGTTGTTAGAAAATATAGGAATGACTGTAAGTCAGTTAGCAGTGTTACGTTAGACTGGAAATGAATCCTAAGTCACAAACAGTTTTTAAAACAGCTTACAGATCTCCATTTGGATGGGAGGGGGGAGTATTGCATAATAAGAGCTGTTACTCTTGCAGCTTGTTGTAATTGTATTGCTGTGGCTGCAGAAAAATGGTGCCAGAAGAGGTTGTTAAGTCTTTAGTGGCTTATTTTCAGATGCAACACTTGAATTTTTCTTTCCCAAGTATTCTAGAGAAAATAAGGTATAGTTCGTTAGCCGTTATTTATATGCCTGGTGCTAAATGATTCCCTTGAAAGAGCATGAGTTATTGCTAGCCTATATATGCTGATAGAAAAGTTAATTTCTAGCCTTGTATATTAGCACTGTGTTTTCACTCGAAAACAAAACAGACAATGCATAAGTGTGCAAATCATATGTCATCTAATTCAAAAAAAAATACAAGATGGCTTTTTACTTGGAGATAAATTTTTAGCTCACTGACTAATTTAGATTGTTATTGTTTCTACTAGATCACCTTCCAGCTCAAAAGCCTTTTATAAGTGGTGAGCACTCTGGTAGTTTGACTGATTACTACTCTCGAAAGAAGGTAGTAAAGCATCTGTTAATCAATGAAAGTTTAAATAATGCACTGGACTAATTTAACTCTGACGCTACTGAAACAGCAGTGTCACATAATTCATTTTTTTTAACTGTGTAGAAAGTATGCATTGGAAGTGGTTGCCTTGCTAAATTATCTTGCGTATGTCTACGTGTGATTTATCATTTTTACTCCCTTTTGCTTTCCTCATGGAAGAATTCCCACAGTACTGTCTAGGCATACAAGGTTCGTCAAGGGAGATATGCTAACTCTTTCTCTAATGATACTGGGATGATTGCTAACCACATGAGACCACTAGACAGATACCTCTGAGAATTGAGTTCTTGCATCAAATTGCATGGAATTTTCTTTTAAACCTGAAATATACTGGTTTGGGTTAATTTTTTTCTTTTCAGATATACTTTGTGAAGTGTACTGATTATACTGTCAGCAAGCTCATCTAAGCTGATTAATTACGGCAGCTAAGATATTAGTTAGAAAAGGTCAGATTTGTATGTTATATAAATGGAAGACTTATTGTGCAGGCTTATTCCTAATGCTCAGAAGAACAGAGCTGCTTTGATACGGTATTTGGCTTTTATCTGTTTTATGATATTCTGCTTTGTGAGCCTCTGGACATACTTTTCAATGGCTTGATTTACTTCTGCCTACATTTTCTTTTAAAGGCTAAATGCACAGCAAACACGGTTACTGAATCAAATGGAGAACGTGCTGCCTGTGCACATACAGAAAGCAATTTGAAAATTTGTCGTGGGTTTTTTTGGTGGCAATTCCAGATTATACTACCTGATGTTCTTTCAGTTCATTTGGTACTTTGGGAAAGCATTAGGTTGACAAGTGTGGTGTCTGAACACCCTCCATTCCTCAAGAGTAACAGCCAGATTGGCAAAGGATGTTTCTTTCACATTGCTTTCAGTGTTGAATATTGCTTCCTTGTAGCTCAAGAGGCACTAGAGCTAATCCTGGCAAAGCTAGCAGCACTTGCAAGGAGACTATCCAAATCAATCTTCTTCTGTTCTGATTTTGCAGTAGTCACAATTATGAATAAGAGGTTGCCTGATGTGATGTGTAAGCCCCAAATATTTCATGCTTATTACCTTTATTTGTGGAAGTCGAAGCACTTCACATAAGCAAGTAATGCTGATTATTTGTGTGAGGAGAAAAGGCTAAAAAGACATTCTTAATTTGAATCTTATGGAGTGTTGTCCTCGGGTTCCATTTCTGCTCTGATTCTTTCATCGGTTTTTTTGGTGTTTTCTAGCTATATTTATTGTTTTACTATTGCTTTGTTAAAGCAACATTTTAAAAAAGTGGAAAGTGACTGCATTAAACATACAATTGATTCAACAGTGAGCTGTTAATATGTAAGTGTGTATAAGTTAAGTGCCCAATATGTTTGCAGAAGAACTGTCAGGTGTAGGAGTTAGCATGCATCTCTTCATAATTTTGTCTTTTACATAACTGAAGAGAATGCTTTCAGATGCTCTCTTCTAACATTAAAAGGTTAAAAATTCAGATAGAGTAAAATAAGTACATACTGCCCCTTTCCCAAATATTCACCTTCTTGAGGGTGGATTGGAGTACTATCTTCAGCCTTTTCAATTGTATGCTTGATCCACTAGGTTGCAGCTTCTTGTTTGTCAAGTACAAAATTTGGCCAGGGTACAAAGGAACAGCTTTTCTGGTTTAATAGAGGCTTTGAGGTTAAGACAGCTTTGAAGAGAAAAGCACAAGATAATTTTGTTAAAACTAACACGGGCATCATCTGAGGGATTTCTTCAGTCCTATTTAAAATGAAAATCAGTAGTAACCTATTATCCTGTAATTATTTTTACAGGAATGAAGACATCAACCGGAGTTTTGTTAGGAGACAGTAGTCTTTTGGAACCATACAAATTAACTAATATCTCTTCTCTTTGTTTACCTATGTAGCTCTCTCTCAATAACTGAATGTTATGAAAACATAATCATTAAATAGATGGCTTGCATAATTCTAATCTGTTGATTTTTATCTGACTGTTTACAGTGGATGAAAAGACTTCATTTTTTCCCTAATATAAATGCAGGTATCTACAGATACCTTTTATATCGGAGAACTAGTAAATTAAAATAGATTAAATTTTGTAACAATGCAATTATTAGTAATTGAAGAATTGGATAAGATTGCATAAGTAATAAAACCTGAATTTGTTTTTCAATTTTTACTTTTTGTGAATGTTGTTTAGTAATAATAGATTTTTGGCTCTCTCCAGCATAGTCTCATTCATTCGTCCTGAGAATTTTGACAGTTTCCTTAAGCACTCTGTGCTTTAGTCTGTCTAATATAAGAGTGAGAGCCAATTTGCATAGTGTTTTGGAGATGCTTGGGTAAAAGTCACATGCGAGTGGTTTTCTTTTGTTGTTGTTGTTTGGGGGTTTTTTGACGTTACGCTTTTGGATAACTGTCGCTAGATGGCAGCATATGTACAAATAGTTATGTAGGTGTGTTTACCTCAGTCTGCACTCCTGAAATTTAGATTGAAATAGTGAGACAAAGCAGTACTACACGGGATACAAACGTATAAGTCAGGGTAACTGAGTGAAGTATAGAGGGTGCAGGTGTAGAAGGCAATTAAGAACATGAATGAGATTTGGATGAGAAAAGTGAAAGGAAAATGTGTTTTCATTGAGTAAAAATGTTCATTTTGTGTTTGGAGAATCTTTGTACTTCACCTCTAGGAAAGATTTGAAGCACTTTTCACAGTCTATGATAATCAAGTTACATTCCAGTTGTTTAAAAGCTTTAGAAGAGTAAGGATAAACTTCAGCAATCCAGAGGCAGCAGCAAGAGCACGGATAGAACTGCATGAAACTGACTTCAATGGAAAAAAGCTGAAGCTATATTTTGCACAGGTATTATGGAACATTAAGATGTTTTACATGTGTTCCTGTTTCTTCCGTTCCGTGTTTGCCCATGAGTTTCATTTCTGATGAAGTTTTAGAGCTACCTTTGACCTCTCGTTCTCCTACATTGACATGTATTACTTTCTCTCATTGAAAATTCATGCTTTAGGGACTGTTTTACTTTTCAGTTTGAGCTTATATCGTTGTAGTTGGTAGAGAACAGTCTCTGTATAGTGACACAAACCTACCTACCTACATAAACAGAAATGTATTAAAATAAGTAGTCCAAAGACCTCTTTATGGTAGGCGCTCTATATGTGTATTCTTTGTGTTGGATTAGAAACCCATACATGTCACTTACAGCTATGCTGTCAGCGCTTACGTAGGCAAATTTCTTACCTACAGCATTTCTCTGAGGTGTCATACCTGGAGAATTGATAAAAGCTGTACTCCTTTCATTTCTAAAGCTAGGTTGAATTAAATGATGCAAATACAAAGAATGGTCCTGCATTACCAAGGGTGTAGACTACCCAATCTTCTACTGGGGAAGTAAACTAAATAAAATCACAGATATTAAGTCTCTACTTGTTCTATATCTGCTGGCTTTTGTCTTCAGGCACAGGTGTCAAATGAAATAGGAGACAAGTCCTACCTCCTTCCTCCACAACCTGTCAAACAGTTCCTGATATCACCACCTGCATCTCCACCAGTTGGATGGAAGCAGAGTGAAGATGCAACTCCTCTGATAAACTATGACTTGCTTTGTGCTGTCTCCAAGTTGGGGCCAGGTAGGAATGTTTACCTGCTTTTATTGTTACTTATCTTCAAAAATACTTGTCCAAGATATTTCTCTACTTCACCTCTTTCTGGGAGAGGAAACTGAGTCCCTCATATGTAAGGTTATTCACTTGAATAAAATCATCCATCACTCTGTACTTCATTCCCTAACTGATTGAGAGTATAGCACAGAACTGAATTATGTGGCACTAGTTCCATGGCAAGCATTTATTGAGCTTTGCTATAATCTCAGTTGTAGCTACAGAGCAAGAAAAGGAATGAAAAATTCAGTCTGTTGCAGATGGACCGTTCCAGTAGTTAAGGATGCCAGCGTGTACTTCATGTATTTGTAAGACTTTTTAATGGGTCTTCCTGGGAAACATGCTCTTTGCTTTCCATGAAAAGGAAAGCATATCAATCTTGCATTATGATCCGATGTGCTTTGCTTTGCAACGTGCTGAATTGGCTCCAGCGTTAGTGAAGCGGGGGAAGTGTCTGTGCTGTCCTAACAGGAGATACATGCTCTGCTGAGTAGTGTTACAGAGAAGGTAGCTACTTCCTTGTCCTCTGGGAAAGCTGCTCCTGAGCAGAGACAGCAGTGACGTTATTTTACAGGCAACAGGGAGGCTTAATGTTTTCAAATGCTTTCGTAACTTTTCATTTACAGATGTCATATGAATGCATAGCGTAGGTGACGTCTCTTAAAAATGTGTATGCTGCTCATTTTCTGATGTCTTTAGTGTATCATGTTACTTGCTTTCATCCTCTCCTCCCTCCCCCTTTAAATGCCAATTAAAAGACTGTTTGCATTCAGAGTACAGTATGACAGATACAGCAGCTATTCTACAACATGTAGTGGGTCCAGTATGGAAGTTGAACAAATTAATGATGAGAAGGAAGCAAATAATTATTTGGTTGCATTACTGTAGTTATTAAGAAGATTTTGAGATAAAGGGGCTTGATACTGTTTCTTGGTGTGATTGTTTGTTTGTTTGTTTTGCTCTTCAGGTGAGAAGTATGAACTTCATGCAGGAACAGAATCTACTCCTAGTGTAGTTGTCCATGTCTGTGAAAGTGAGACAGAGGAGGAAGACGAAGTAAAAAATCCCAAACAGAAGATCATGCAGACAAGGCGTCCAGAACCACCTGCAACAATACTGAATGAATCTAAAGCATTTGATTGTACACTGGAGGTAGGGGGTACTATGCATTGTTAAATCATGTGATGCTCGAGATAGTATCAATAATCAGACATGTAATGAGTTAAGTGATGTCTGTACTGCTGCTATACGTTATATATAGCAGCAACGGATTTTACTTGTAGTTGTCTCTCATGTTCAAGATTTTGGATGCCAATGCTCTAAAAAGCACTTTAGTTTTAAGGAGTAGGCTCCCAAATGTAGCAAATTCCCCTGACTTGAATAGTGAAAAATAGGAAGCCTTTTTCTTTTTTTCTCTTTTGAAGCTGTTACCCTACTCTTTATACTGTATAGTGTGATGTACCGAGTGTTGAAATAATATCTTAAACATTGCTGTCACTACTGGATTCAAGAAAGTTCATTGTATAGCAACTAAAAGCTGATTTGTACTGGTACAACAGCTTCCAGATAGTATTATGATTAAATGTATATGTAATATACTCTTTCTGCTACAGTTCTTTCCCAGGTAGTGATCTCCTGAGGTGACTTGATTTGCAAATTGATTGTTCATGAAACTGTTCTGTTTACTTTTCTCAGAAATGCCAAGTATTTGTTTTTAATTTGACATGAGGCACAAATACATGTATGGAACTAAATTAAAGCAGTTTTTCTAACTGAACAGAGAAGAATACAGGAGGAAGAACCACAGACCACTGAGAAGGCAGAGTCCGAGTCTGTCTCCAAAACTACTGCTGCTACTATCTGTGATGGTACACTGATAGGTACAATAGTTTGCACTGACAACTAATTAAAGGTGAATTACAGTATATGTAGAGTGAAATACGGATTCAGCTCTTGAATGTGTTGTCTCTGATCCTCTCTAAAGATATGGTAATGCTTGTTCCTCTCCAGTCCTGGAGATGGCCTACATTTATAAATAAATTCAGTGACTGTTATGACTAAATGATGTTAGGAGATAAAAGGTCCAGGGTTAGTTTTGAACTTGTGCACTTGTGCTCCTAAACTTCTACAAGTGTGAGGTTTTTTGGTTGTTTTTGTTTTGTTTTGTTTTTTCTTTCCCCTTCCAGTCGTTTGCCTGGCTTAGCCAGCTTTTATGCAGTTTTGGCCCTCGTTTCCTGTTTTTCATTAAGACTTCTTTGTGTGGCATCCTGTATGTCTAATAGAGCATCTGTTAGTTCTCAGACCAGGATGCGTCTTTTAAAATATAGATCTGTAATATCGTGAATTTCTGTGTTAAGTGTTTTAGTAGAAGGAAAACATGCCTCAGTATAGTGGCACATGCTCCTATGCTTTTATGCTATTTTATAACCAACCTTTTTTAGTCTACACAGATTCTTCTTTTTTCTATTAAGAAGTTAGTTACTTGTGAACAAACACAAGGCTGCTTATGTTCATATATATAAATCATTCATAAATTGGCCTTTTTCAAATCATTTTAGTGGGTCGTTTAATTCTGTATAAAGTGCTTATTAAACTTTCAAGAGTGTTTTCACTTGATTGACAGCAGAGAAGAAAAAGTAGACATGAATTTGTGTAGGCGCAGTTGTTTTAAACTCCATATTGTGCCAGCTCTTGATCCTTTCCTGCCACCAGCTTCAAGTTGCAAAATAGGATCCTGCAGGCAGGTCCTCATTCCAGAGGCAGGAATAGTATATACTAAAAATGTTGAAAGATGTTATCTGTTTGTCTTGCCTCCACAGGCATGATATTTATGCATCTCTTCAGGTATTAAAATCACTCTGCTGTTTCACTCTTCCACAGTAAACAAAAACAAACAAACAAAAAAAGACTTGTATTGTCCACCAAGTTTGTGCATTTTTAAATTCCAGAAATCCGTTTTGGATTTTCCATGGTGTTTATATTTTGTTAATTGCTTAATTTCTACCCCATTGTAAAAGTTGGTATAAGTAGGGTTAAGTGGAAGACCGACAGAAACACTTTTTTTAAGGCAAATCAAACCAGTAATGTTATTGTCAATGTATCTTGTGTAAAATGTGTAACAACTTGCATTCCAACATCTTTCATTGTGTAAAGAGACTTAAAATAAAAACAATGCAGTGCCATTCACATGTTTTTCTTTAACTGCATTCCGTATTGGCCCAAGTTAGATATCTGTTTTAAAAACCTCCCCAAAGTTATCTATTCTCACAATATTGTATGCTTGCATATTGGGTAAACTGTCAAGATAGCATCTAGATTTTTGTAAGCAAATTATCACTAAGGAAAAATGGTGCTCAGGAAGAAGGTGAGGATTTCTACAGCAAAATACTGGGAAGACCTGGGGGGAGGGAGGGTTTTTTGACTGTGTTCTTGGGTGCCTGTAAAGGGAGAGACTTTAAAGCAGAGTTCCATTTGGATGTCTACCTTACATTAATTTTGAATGGGGGGTTGACACCTACTTAGACCACAAATGTTTCATGGCAGAGCATGTGTTGTTTTGGCCGCAGTGCTGAGCTATATAAAGTTTTTGTTGTGACAAAGATAGATACTATCTATTTTTGAAAATCTCCAAAAAGCCATTTCTGCAGAAAGGGTATGTACAGAATCTATATAAAAAGTGCATGCAAAGAGGTTGAAGGGTATTAGAAACCATCTGGGGCTATGCAGATAGTTGACTTCTTATATATGTTCAACCCTGAAAGAAGATGCCTTGTCTTTGTCCCAAAATTAATGTTGTATTTTTTCTATGTATCCTCTGCGAAGTAAACAGTTCAAGACAAGCCAAGACATTTTTAGACTTAGGATTTAAGTTAAGTGAAAAATGAAACAAAGCTAAGGTGAAACATTTATACTTTCAGAGAGGGTTATCTGCTGTTGAATTTAGAAACAAATTTGGTTCCCTTCAGCAGAATTGAATATGAATAGGTAAATTGTTATGAAACCAACTAACAAAGGCAATGAACTTAAAGCTAGGTGAAGGTAGGGAGATGTTCATGCAAGAGCTATTGCTGCAATTATTAATCCTGGGTTTTGTTCAAAAACAGTAGAAGATTAGCAAATTACATATTTTTATAAGAAAAATTACGGAAAACTTTCAATTCGTGCAGAGGTCGAATGTTAAAACTTTTTCTATTTTAAAAATGTGTAAAACATTTAGTTTGTTGCATTTCATGTGTTTTCGCCACAAGGTTCCTGTCTCTCTTGCAGGTTAGTGTAAATTTCAGAAGTTCTCTGTGTTAGCCAGTGGAGGGAGGCTGTGTGCCCTTCTCCTAACACACATTGGAGTAATAAAAAGCAATTATATTTAAAAGCTACAAAATAGCATTCCTTTACTGCATGTGAAGTTCTGCCCCATTTCTGTGACAGCGCCTAGGGGTCCCACTGTACTAAACGGTCTCCGCCATTGAGCTTGTGCAATCTCTGCCTCGGTTTGTTTCAAAGGAGCTGCAGGGAATTAGGTGTCTGGCTCCTTTGCAAATACTGACGTGGGCAGACAAGGAGGAGGCAAGACAGAGGCTTGTACAGAAAAGGAAACTTGAAGTTAGCCATTGGTTCAGTATTAGAAGTGATTCTAATCCACTTTGTCCATAGTTTCCAAGGTGATGTAGCTGCCCTCATAAAGTGAAGGGAACTCAGTTTTGCTTTACTAACCCTACACGGTGATTCAGTAATGACCGTTAGAGCTTGTCTGTTTCTCTTAATTACTGACCTGCTAATATCTGAAGGGCTTTTTTTTAGAAGAAATAGGCTTGCACAAAAGTGCTAAATGTGCTGAGTCCTTTCTAAGCATGTACTTTGTATAAATAAATATCCCAAATTCCTTTAAAGAATTCTTTCTGAGAAGTAGCTGAAAAAATTTATGGTCTTTTGTTTGGGCAATCTGCCCATGTATTCCGTCGAGAAATTTCTCAGAGTATTGTATTCTTATTTTAGAGTATCTAAGAATGGGGTCTGGTTTCATGATCCTATAATTATTACTTCTCATTCTGTTTCTGCCTTGTTACTGAACTGCTTCCCCTCCCGCCCCGAAAGACCTCATGTACCAAATGTCTCTGCTTAATTTATTCCCGAAAGATTTTGCTTCCGTTTTCGTCTACTTTTGGACTACTGATCTTTTTTAGCCTACATTAGAAGATTGTCTTATGAATCTTATGCTTCTCTGGTTTTGTTTCCTTGCTCCGCTTAATGTATGACAACTTTCTAGGAGGGGTTCGTGGTCCAGTGTGCTTTTAATGTGGAAAGAGACCACTGCCAAACCTCATTCCCTTGTGGAGAAATGCAGAAGTATTTCCTTTACTAAACTAAATAGGACATGCACACCTGGCTGGATCTGTGAGTCTTTGTTCCTATGTGGGCTTTAATGGCACCTGCAATATATCATTCTGTGATTTCTCCATTCTGTGCACTTGAAGGTCAGCCTGAGGGACGGAGAACCCAACTGAGCTGGGCAGGGAAGCTGAGGTCAGTAGGAGGAAATTGTAGTTCTTGATACGTTATACTTCTCAAGCAGCTGTTTATCTTCTTTGTTCTAAGCAAAAAGGTAAATTCTGATTTATGTTGATATTTATTCTGATAAAATACTACTACTTTTTCTCCTGCAGCTCATCACGGATTTGAAGTCTGAGTGGGTGTGTCTACAGGGTTGTCTCCTCACATCCATGATTTAGCTTTAGGAAAACTTGCAGAGTGACCATGTGACTGTATCTGTACCCTTCATCTAAAGATCAGGGCTTGAGATTTTAACAGTATCATGGTATCTACCTAATGGGGAGACAGGTGGTGTGTTATTTGGTCATTTATGTATTTTATTTTTAAGTTGTATTTGTACTAAATCGTACTAGAAAAAGTGCAGTATTTTAGATGCTAACTAATGCATTAAAATCCTGTTGTGAACGAGTTTGCTTTTAACATGCTGGCAGGTTGAGGCTTGTAGAAGGGAATGTTTGATTTACTGGATAAAGTGAACATATTCCAACTGCAGTATCAGAAACCCACATGTCAGCAGCATTAGGGAGAGGCAACGAGAAAGTAAGATACTAATGGGAATCTGTTGTTTTGCTGTGTTACGTAAAGTACAAAAATAAATTCTTTATATTTTTTGATTCTATAGTTTACGACCATGTTCCTGGTTGACTAACGTGGCATGGTGAGCAGAGGATGGGGAAGGCACTGCTTTGGTTTTCCTCTTTGGCCCAAGTCAACTGATATGCCCTTCAGCTAGGGCAGGTTGTTTCATTTCAGAATTTGAGGTTCATCCCTTGCAAGTGTAGTTTAAGTTCTTTCCTGACTGTGGATACACGTACAGCATCAGAGGCCCTGATTTCATATGACAACTCTAGACACAATAATGAGTTTATAGTGAGGCATGACAGCTGCTGCCATCTCTGTCTGTGGGGTTTTTTTGGGGGTTTGGTGTTTTGTTTTTTGTTTTTTTGTTTTTTCTTAAGATAGTTCCAGTCTCACAAAACTTAACCAGTGGTGCTGTGAACTGACCTTTTGTTCTAGCAGGAGCATGATACTTTGTTAGAAGTGTAAGCTTGAAGTATAAATTCAGTGAGATGTAATGAATTATTAAGTTATGTCACTTCCTTACGCCTTTTTTGTAGTGCCCCAAATTAAACCTAGCGTAGTTGGCCAAAGGATTTTAGTTACAAAAACAATTACAGGCCTTATGCTATGAGAAACCCTAACAGTTCCTGTAAAATACTGGCTTGTTTCCCATTGGAAATCAGTGTTAAGAGGTCAGCAACTTCTAGCATTGGACCTTTAGTTTCTAATTAAGAGTTATGTTCAGTCTTTGGCACACAGAGTTTCCACTGACTTCGTTATAAGTGTTCTGGAGCATCCCATCATTTGGTCCTCCGTTAACGCACCGCTACAGAGATTCTTCTCCAGCTCAAGTTGGTGGGAAGAGCTTTGCTTTTTATGCATTTGAGTTTGTCCTGCTGTCACTGAAACTTGAGGTGACAACAATACACGGCATAGTATCAGCCACATATAATAGTTCGTCCTGTTGCCCAGAATCATTCACTGGCTCGTTTCATCCCTTCAGTGCTTGATTCCCCAATGGCACCTAGCGCAGTTGCTGTACTGTTGTGATGACTTTGACATCAGAAGTGTCTGACTGCTCTGCAGAGCAAAGGTTATGCTAAATACTCTCTTCCTGTTTTTTATTTCCATGACAAATAACTTTGACCTTCAGAACAGTGAAATAGAGAAGTTTTTGTGCTGCAAAATGCTACGCCAGCTCCATGAGCCCAGAAGCTGGATTACGCTCAGAAGCTGGACTACGCTCAGTCTCCGAGCCTCCTCCGTTTCTGTCTAAACTCTGAATCCTCTCCATCTGCGGAAGTACGATTAGCAGATAAAATAGAGCAGAGAGCAAGTGAGAGAAATTGATGGACCTAAAGTCTGCTGCTGCTAAACAAGCCCAAATTGTTCCACAAATGTTATTGTCTAGAGCTTTGAACTAATACAAAATATTATATGTTGTGAAAGCAATGCTTTTGAAACAGTTGAGCCTTCAAAGTGCACACTTATGATCCACAGTTAGTGATTAGGCCAGCAGGGCTTAATACTAGTGTCATGTTTATACAGGCATTACCTGGTCTTTCAGTAATTATCTGTCAACATCTAGACTTTGGAACCTTGCTAGGAATAAATTCCTCCATGTGCAACATCTTCCAGTAGCCCCAGCTTGGTGCTGTCACCAGACTGCCCAAGGCCATCTCACTGTCTTCTTGGCCTTTGCTGCTACCACACAGAAGTCCTCTTCAAGGAACGCTGAGGTGCTGGACAGGCTCCCCTGGAAACAGTTGACTCTGAAGACAGTGGGGGCCAAGTATGTGTGGCTATCTTCAGAAGCCGAGTCCTTTTCCAAAGCACCTTGAATTGAGTGAATTGTATCACAGCCTCATCCAGGCAGCCAACGGCTCCCTGAGGAGCGAGATTAGGTAAGAGCCCATCCTGCTGTGTAAATCCAGCCCCTAAGGTCTGGCAGCTTTGTAAGGGTGTGCCATGCCGTACATATTTGTATAAGCTCATAAATGCTTTGGAAAGTTTTATTGCAAACATAAGCAGGAGAGCCTTTGTACTGAGTCTTACCTTGCCCATCATGGAGGAAAGGA